ATAATATCAATAACTAGTATCATCATGTTAAATGAGCATTTCTGCCAGTTTATCACAGCCGAATATGAAACACCTGCCACTTCTGACTGTGTACAACTGTGACACTGTAAAGTGGTTGTGTCTGGCCTGTAGAATAATGATCAAAGAGCTGAAAAAAGTCCAAGTGATGGTAATAAAGTTTTCTAATGACAAATTCACTCTTCCCCTGAGGGGTACTTTGGATTAGTGCCCTCACAGACCATCTGCAGCTGAAGCTGAGGTCAGTGTCCAGTCAGTAATGAACCACTCCCACACAATGCCCATCATTGTTTAAATATCAAGACTATATTTAGACAGAAACACGGGGGCGTTTCCAGGGATTTTTATGTGTGTGTGTTTGATTGGCTCTCATTTGTTTTTACATTTGAATGTATAAATCTCGGCCTGTGTGCATCTCTTGTGCGTGGGTCCAACCCCTCCCTCCTTCAATCCAGCTACTGTTCTGTGACGGTAGGCAGATGTGCAGTGAAGAGGGGGGGGGGGGGATCTCTGGTTAGAAAGCATCTCTTTGACTCCAGAACCTTCTGCTTCCTTTTTCTGCCAGAAGGCTAAAAATATTATAAAAAGGGCTTCTTGTGCGTATAGCAGACGCAGTGGAGGTGGGGTCTGTCTTGGCACACGGGGGGGACACGGGCACGGGAAGAGGAAAAGGGAAAGGCTGTCTGTTTCCACTGACTGTCTGAAGGGATACACATCTGCACGGGAGTTCTTCATCCCGAAGTCTCAGGTAGCTGTTTGCAGCTTGTGCAACTAATGTGGAAATTTTGTCAGGCTTTGTTGCTCCTGTTGTCACGTGTACTATTATATGTGAAGGTTTGTCAGATGGATGTAGTGTTGTCAGCCTGTGCAGTTGTGGAAATGTGCCTCAACAGTGTTAGTGAATAGAATGATTTGCTCATTTTCTGCAAAATGCACCAGTACATTTATTCCGTCTCCCGGTTTTTCAGTTCTTGTCTCAGGCAGCAGAAATGTGAGTTTCATTATAAGCTCAGTGTGCTGAAAACTCCATGAAAACTTTGAGCACAGGAAAATGTTTTTTGTCCATTACAGCAATGACAGTAATTACTATCCTGGGGATCGGGCTCAGCATCACAGGTTGTTTTTAGTGCTCATGCACTGAGGCTCCACCAGCTGTTTTCTGCTTCTGTTGTTTTCCGCCTCACAGTTGTAAACCTCTTCCACTGTGGTTTCTTCTGCTGAACTCCCAAGTTGAGTTGAGTTGAGTTAAGTTAACTTAGGTGTTTTCAGTGGATTCGGTTCCTCAGTTTGCACAGGGCTCTTTCCTTAATGAAGCCATGAATACATGTTGCTAGTTTTTGGGGTAATTTCCCCATAATACAGGACTTATGCTTTGTACTTACGAGGTACTTACAAGCCTCGACTTCAGGACTTTGAACTGATAGAACTTTGTTGATTTCTTTTCCATAACTGCATATATTAACGTTTATTGCTTTACTGTGCTTGAGCTGATGTAACTGTTAAAATACATCTATCTTTACTCCAATGGAACAGTTCATCTGACTTCACACTGGACATGCGTATTGTTATGAGACCGAGAAAGTACAGTGTCCATTTTGGTGCATTTTGGACATGATACTTTCAATATTGATAGGATTTGAGTAAACAGGTGACCAGTGCTCTGTAGCAGCAGTGGCTGGGACTCATCAAGTGACTCTGTCATTCACAACAACATCACATTCACAATAACGGGCACGTTCAAGACAACAGCAATGACTGATTCTCCAATTAGGGGTTCTGTGTGCTGTGTCGAATATTCCTGCACTTTACTTCCTGCAGCTCAATGCAGGTTATGTTTACAGTTTACGAAAGAGAACTGCAACCAGCATCGCCACAGACCAAGCAAACAGCCCATTCCAGGCTTTTACATTTAAGACACTGTATATAAATACTTGATGCTTTCTGCGGACGTAGCTATAAAAATAGAACCTGCAACCTTTTTGAAAAAAATTCATATGGCATATTTCATTTATAGCATCAAAGAAAAGTGGTACAATTATATGTATTTATTTGTAACAAGTCATTTGTTTCATCATTTCATTAATTTATCCAATAGCCAAGAGTCATGGGGTTCATGGTCGTTGCTTTAACCGTCATTGTTAGTTGCTTGAAATACAAAGTCATCATCCATTTACCTTCTAGTTCCCTCACATGAACCTGAGCTTTAAGCTTTTAGCTTTTGATTGGTGTCAGATATGAGTCCTAGCTTCTACATAATCCAGCAGCAGAGTCTTGTATCACTGTCTGACCATGATTGCCTGTGGTTGGACCATATAGTGGTCTTGATTGTGTCTGGAACAGGAGGAATGCTGCCAACCTCTCCTCTGTGTGTTTATCTCACAGCCCACATCACCACTGTGGTTGAGCTGACAGTAGCTGGTTGCTTTTTTAAACTCATCGTGGGCCTTATGTGTGAACTCATAATCGTACACCCACACACACACACGTGTATACTTAAGCAGGTTATTGCACACGTTCTTTGAGGAAGATGAGGGCAAACTATAGACTGAATCCTTAAATACACATGCAAGAAGGAGCTGGGGAAATGAGGTTGGGTGTGCATTTGTGACAATGTGTCAAAAGTCCAAATCTGACATGCTCTGTCAGTTGACATTAATGTCAGGGCAGAGCTAATGAGCAAGGGATTCATGAACTAGTAAAACTGGTCATGAGACAAGGAGCATTGTTATGTTTGGGGTTCAGGAAAGGGTGTACGTGGACTAAAGAAGGAGGAGGATTCATCAAAACAGGATCAAGATAGAACAAGATAACATGAAAGTTAATGAAGCCCGTGTGGACTTTGTTGTGAGAAAAGTATAAACGAGAATATGCCAAGTTATACAGAGTGGAACAAAAATAATGGAGATGTTAGAAAAAAATATACAACTTGCAAAAGTAATGACTCCACAGCTCTAGTGGTGGGATGTCAATCTCCTGACCGCACCATATTACATAACATATATCGGCCAACCACCAGCCCCCGCGCCACCCACCCAGTCCACCTTCACCGTCCAAGGTGCTGTGGTCATAGTACACTTGTGCTGGAGCGGGCCAACAGCATCTGAACACAGCTGGCAGAGGGTGATGCCAGGCAGGCAGCTGTCCAAACACTGTCCAGTCCAGAGAACAGAGTCAAAGCAGTGGGATAATGGAAAAAGTGTGCAAACAGCCGCCTTTCTTTGTTACCAAGGAGGAAAAGCACACAGAGAGGAAACAAAAAACCCTTTATGTACATGTATCAGTTCAATTAAAGCCATGGAAACATGCTGATTAGCCTCAGCAGTATGAGGGCTTTCTGACATACTTATTCATGGTGACGAAGCTGATGGTGTGAGTTTACCTTGCACCCATGCTTTCCCTCAAAAGCATTAACAGAGAAACTGCTTCTGTCTCAGGCTACATCCCCACAACTGCTTTTTCATTTTAAAACACATCCACTCTGCTACGGATATCCCAGGCGTCTATACAACTCTGGAGTTTTAGAGCTGCTAAAAGTTTGGTAAAGTCGCAGGCACCATTTTAGTTTGAAAACTCCATTTTAGTTGTTTGGAAATGATGACGCTTGCTGATTGCGTCTTTTCTGTCATAATGTAGTATTCGCTTAATTGTCAGAGTCCTGTCACTCGACCCCCTTCCGGAAGAAAACAACCACCAACAGCCTCGGCTACAGTAGTGAAGAATGCAACAGGGATCATCCGTTACAAGTTTTTCTGACCTTGTTGTCTTTGCTAACAGCTGTTGTGCAGTCACATTCTGTATTTTGCAATTATCAGAGGTTTTTGTTTGAAAATGAAAACTTATTAGTATGGATGTCACATGCTTATAATATAAGCGTCCAAACATTTGTGCTGCCTCTCAACATTACATTGCACATACTGGTTTTCTCCCCCTACATCTCTCCCATTATGCATCCATGCATGAAAACATGCTTAGCAATCCCAGTACTTAGCCTGTGGTCGTTAGCGTTCTTGTGTTCAAAGCCTCCTCTGAGTCCTGTCAGGCCCAGTCATCTGTGGATCTGATCCCATGTTGGGAAACAAAGAGGCACTGGGTGGGAAGAGCTGCCACACGAACTTACACACACACCCACACACACACACACACACTATATATGGATTATCATGGGTTATGGGCGGGAACCACAAGGATTATAACTGGAAGACAGTTACACAACCAGAACAGAGGTTCAAGAGGCACAGGGAGTAGAGAATGGATGGTGTCATAGTGGTACACATGCTGAAAGTCTTTCCTTCTGCATCTTGCTGCACTCTGCCTGACAGTTCAGAGGAAAATGATCTAAAAAATATGACATCTACGATAATCTTCAAAATGTTTGACATTAACTGACAATAAAACTCTCACAGTGACAATGTAGAACCATGTGTTTTCATGGCTAAATGCAGTCTCAAACTTTCCAAACTGCAGATGTTGAACAGATGACCCCCACACTTTGAGTAGAAACAGATATATATGATAATAATATTGTTTGTTGTGATTTTATTATGTTATCTGTATTTTAAATTATATTATAACATTCATATGATCGTGCCATTACTGCCCTGTGAGGTCGAATATCGTGCAATCAATTCATGAATCACATTTTACAGTCCCACAATGATTGCGGTTTTCAATTCCTCAATTTCACACACTGACTGCCACAGTCCACGTCCATATACACAGTTATGATTGAGTGTTGTTGTAGAAAGAGTTGGGGAAGTCCCGTCTTTGTCTGTTGTGTTTTCATGCCATCAAAAGAAAGTGTATAAATGGTTGACAGACAAACATTTGACATCTGCCAAGTCAAACTCTTGGTTTAAGGTCAAACAAGGTTTTGGAGAGTTGGCAGCTCCACAGACTGTATTGCCACATTCTGAGAGCAAATCTAATTTTTCTGTCTGCATGTGTGTGTGTGTGTGTGTGTGTGTTCGTGTGCATGTGAGCAGGCGGGGAAGGGAGAGCCCCACATCTTCAAGGAAAAGACCTTCAAGAAGAAGCGGCAGTGCAGTGTGTGTCGGCAGAACGTGGATCACGTGGGCTCCTTCTGCAGAGGTGAATGTTGCAAACACATGAGGTTGTTTGTGTGGCAGTGTTGACAACTGGTCTAGATATATCATTCCATGGCAGGATGATATAACAGTCTAGCTGAAAGTCTAGCCCTACTAAACAACACAATGAGGATAGGATGCAGGACATGGAATAGAAGACGTAGTATGACTGTAATTGTGCAACTAACTGAATGTATTGCGTCTGAATAATTGTCCATGCCATCATAAATAACTGAGCAAAGCAGTTACAATAATGCTACTTTTGTCATTTTGTTTTTCCTCCTCCTCTTTCTCTACTCTCAGTATGCAAGACAGCTACCCACAGGAAGTGCGAGGTCAAGGTAAGAATTAATGTCAGCCCATGGTTTCTCAATGTGGTCTCAAGATGGGGAAACAATAGTTTGTGGTGGTGGACAGTAATGAAGGGATGATTTGGGCGTAGAAGTAAAACTACACCTTTTCTGTTCATGAGCATATTCAATTTGCTCATTAAAAAACTTAAGTTGTAAAGTGGGTAAGAATTTAAGAGACAATTTTTGACATTTTCATTTATATATCAGATGAATCTGAATCTTGATGAAAAACTCACAAATTTTGGAGCTGGTTTAGATGATATCCAGATAAAAATCAGGATCTAGTGAATTTATATATGGTTTCATAAGGGTCAAGGCTTTTTTTCAGCTGCTCTATGGTAACAAATAGGGATATAAACCTGCCTCTTGTTTTTTCTGTACATTTGGATGTACACCTGAGCTCCACCCAGAAGTAGTATGTCAACGAGAGCTCTACAGTTTTTATCACAAACAACTCGATGAATAAAACATACATAAAGAAACAGTGTAATGCCACTTACATAAAGGGATTGAATCTCTAATAGCTAATATATGCAGTCATATTGGATACAACTGTCATTAAACAGTCTTGACTTGATTTGTATTTTTTCAGAAGTTTTTGTGGTCATTTGGTGGCAACATATTGCAAAACATACATCTTGTTACATCAATAACTTTGATTACTGCAGTAATATGAACATTTGAAGTCAATAATGTGAGTGTATCCTGCTCTAGAGCACATTAAATGTGAATTCATCAACAGCTACCTCCATGACCCCACTAATTCAAGGTTCAGCCCGATGCCGATCCGTTAAATGTCCAGAGGCGGGACTCCTTATTTGAAGATATTGAAAGAACTGAAGGAGGAACAGAAAATATTTTCCAGTTGAGTTGTGTGTGATATATTGTCATTTCACTGAGGTCTGAGGCAATGGCTGTGTGAAGGCAGAAGTCTAGAGATCTCTTCTAATATGAAGGCTGCTCAGTTGCATTCCTCGGAAAGAGCCGTAAGCCTTGCTCCAACCCCACACTGCTGCCTCTGTGAAAGGGTCATTGATGGAGGGATGGTATGATGAATAGACAGAGGGATGCAGAGGGTGGGGGGGGGATGCCAACCATGGCCAAAGTGACGAAGACAGAGCAGAGGCTGAGGCCGGGAGACTTGGCAACCAGCGGGGCGAAGGAGAGAAAGCCAAGGGCAAAGGCATGTGGCAAAGACAAGACTCGTTCCTCTTGCATCCCTCCATCCTGTTGTCTTTTATCTGAGGTGAGGAGAGCCCCAAGGATGAGTTCAGAGATGAATGTGTGGCTTTGAAATGGTACGCACTAAAAAAGAGTAGAATCAGGCTTTTCAGAAGAACTTGTGATGTGGTGTTGGTTTGTTTCTGCATGGATTTATTGTTCTTTGTACAACCTGTTTGATGTTTTCCAAGTCTCCCCATGTACAATTAGGTACTGGCTTCTCTGTGGCCCTATTCAGACCACCCAGCCTGAGAGATCTGATCTCAAGTGGACAACGTTACGCACATATGTTCACACCTTAAAATGAGTCCTGAATGTGTCTCCCTTGAATACTTGCGATTGGATCTTACTTACCCCGCTCTATATGCAAATAATCAAGTCATTTGATTTTGTGAAGACCAAATTATTTTGTTTTTACTCAATCTGAGTTTACAGAGAAAGAGAGAGAGCAAGTGAGGGGCTGAATAAATGAATAAATAAATGCATGCAGCCAGAACGATTTTAACATTTAAGAAAAGTATCAATCAACATATGGACACTGAGACATTTGCTTCATTGTGAAACAGTAGCGGGTCAGAGGTCGTCAGCTGAGTAGGTGGTCCTTCACATGTGGCCCAGGATGCATCTGCTTTCACACAGCTAAAATAATGTGGACACATGCGTCCCAGATGACCTCTGAATGTGATCTGAGTGATTGGATCTTTGGAGATTCAGGACACATTTTGTTTGGTGCGTTTTGTACTTTGCACTGACGAGCTGGCCACTTATGATTGGATCACTCAGGTCAGATGTTAACACCATGTCTGAATTGGGTCAAAGTCAAAGAATAGATGCAAAGATCAATATCACTCTCATATCTGTGTGCTAATAAATGTTGGGGTCAGCTGGTTAACTTAGTTTAACATAAGACTGAAACAAAAGGAATTCAGCTTGATATATAATATATAACTTATTAATTAATAAGATTCAGAGGTGAAAGACTGAAAGTATGTAAGTATTTAGTTACCTTTGGAAATAACTGGGCTAGCTTTTACCTTGTATCCACTTTTTAAGGTTTGCTATTGTAAGCTAACCAGCATCATTTGAATGCACAGATACAAGAGTGGAATTTCATTTTAAGCAATTTAATTATTACATTCTGTTTTTAACAGACAGAAAGAAGTGAAGAGAAAATGTTTCTCTTTCCCTTAACTGGCAGATATCTTAAAAGGTAAAAGGAAGGAAATGCCAGTAATGTCACTAAAGAGGTCATTGGAAAACAACATAATATTCAGAAATCCTAAACATGTATTTCTTGTTATGCTTGATCACAGAGCAGTATGCCTTCTGATGGTCTTAAGCTGTTTTCAGACATGATGTGTGGGTAAAATCTGGAAATTAGGCTTCGGAGTTTAGCCAGAGTTTGAGGTTTTCTGCACAGACACATTCACAACACCTCCAAATCCTCCACATTATATAGGTGGGAGGGGAAGCAGCCGGGTGCAGCAGACGGAGGCAGGAAGTGAAATAGTAACTCTGCTGAGGAGATCACATGATTTTACTTGACAACACACAGACACCGGTGTCAACTCTCATCACTGCAATCTCTCTTGCAAAGACTGCAGAGCATTTCCCTTGGACATTTGCGTTCACGCATGCACCTCCTCCAGAGAAAATACAGAGGAACTGGGGAGTTCAGTGCAGCTTTACTGTAACTGTGATGTGCTGCTGTTGACTGGTCCTTAAACAGTGATATCCATCGCTGCTGCCCAGGAAGGGAGAGGTCAGATAACGCAGGGCGTGGGGGTCTGGCTGCTGTGTCTGCTCCAGCTGTTATCTACCCTCATACGGCATCAATCTCTAATACTGTGAATCCTAAAATGCAGACTTATTTAGTTATGGTAGAGATATGGTCCATTTAGATCTGAGCTTGCCTCGTCAATTTGCTTTGCCTTCCTCTTATTTATTCTGTATACGTGACCTTGTTTGTGCTAAACAAACTGAGTTACCTGTGTTAACAGTGCTATTAGTTCTAAGCGTTTCCTCACTTGCCCTCGATCCACATTTGGCAGTTATTATCTCAAACCTTGTGTTTGAATCATCCACCTCTACCCTCCTCCATGAGCATATTCACATTTGCCAACATACACATCTGGAGATCTGCCCTCTGTCATCTGTAAACCATCCTGTTCTCACCAAGCTTCTATTTACATCACCACCCGCCCCGTGTGCTTCTGCTGTAGTTCCCTGGAAAATTACCCAACACTTTTATTCAACTACCTTCCCAGAAAGAATTGCTGTGTCACAATTTGCGTATTTCTTTAGGTTTACACATGTTATTGTGGTCAAGCGTCACTTCTCATCATTAGTGGTCGCTACATTGGCTACGTAGCAGAAGAGGAGGGGGCAGCAATAATGGCGAGGAGAGTCTAGCTGCAGACTGGGAGACCCTACAATAAATCAAGCCTAAATCTAACCCTGAACCTAAGCAGTTCAACTTCCACGCAACTTCATTCATGTTCACCCCTCACATGTGTGCTGCTGCTCGGGCTGGTGATTACACTATGATTTACATGTGACGTAAAACAGGATGCACTAACAAGACAGTAAAATGTTGACATGGTTGAGGTGAGGGGGCAAAGCAGGTGGTAGATATTTTGGCAGTCAGTTGTTGCGATCGTAATTTCTGCCAAGTGCACATATATCATATACAGAGGGTAGGGTAACTCATATATGTGTACTAATGGAATTATCTGAATTGAGACCACCAAAGACTGATGATGAAATATAATGTAAGCACATGTGGGTTTTTTCTTTTGGTCATTCTGTTTCCAACTATTTGCCCACAAGGTCAACAGCCTCCAGCTGGCCCATCTCAATTCTATTAAAACACACACACACACACACACAGAGGTCCATAAAGAGCTTCATTTAAACATGCTCTTCTCTCAGAGAATAGTTTCTCCTTATCTTTGATCCCAAATGGAAAATGTATTCCACAGGGAATCAGGGGGGTGGGTGTGGGTGGGGGGGACTAAGGCCCAGGGGCGAAGAGATGGAGGGAAGGTTGGGGAGAGACACAGAGATAGGGAGGGTGAAAGAGAGCAACAGTCAGAGGAGAAAGGATTAAAATGAGTGAAATGCAGCCCGTGACGAGTCAATCAGTCTGACTGCCTAATTAGGCAAGAAGAATCATTTCCTCTGGTCAGTGGGAAAAGCTCTGTGACTGCTCCACTGACTGTTCAGCTCATAGACAAGTATCACTGTGGAACCCCACTGATACGAAATCCCACAGGCTGGTTGACTGAATGACTGGCAGACACACTGTACTTGAACATACTGTACAGAAAGAAGGACAGAGCTTTCATTAATCACAGCAATACTGCAAAATATGATTAAAAGTGTAGTTTTTTTGTGAACTAACAGCCTGTATTTGTAGTTGATAAGGACTAAGGAAATGATCAATAAGAACTAGCTGTATATTTTAATTTGGTCAAAATCCATAAACAGTTGCATGGCAACTACATGGATGTAGCAAGATCATAAGGTTTCCATATGAACTTGACTTCCAGAGCTGGTTTCCAGCAGTCAGTTATCTCTATTTTTGCAAAGCTGTTTACCAGTCCCTCACTGGCTGACTATTTCATTGATGCTTCACATAACTGACTGACTGATGAGTCGACTAAAAACACTTAAATACCCTCCAGGTCTGGTAAAGCCATCCTACAGATTTTGTGCGTCTGTAAAGCAGAGCTTTTTTTTTACAGTAATTAGAAATCCCTGCTTCC